TGCGATAATAGTACACAAATCTATTCGAGCACATATATACCCCATTAATTATACTAATTCAGGTATTGAGATCATTTGTGTTAAACTGCTAAATTGCAAATATGTCGAGTATGTTGTTTCTGTATACTGCCCTTCTTCTGTTCACACTACACAATATGATTGGGAAAGTCTTTTCTGTAACTTCAATAGTAAATCGATAGTAGCTGGAGATTTTAACGGCCATAACACCAGTTGGTCATACAAAAATGACACTCGTGGAACCCAATTATTAGATGCCACGCTAGAAAACAGCTTAATTCCTATTAACAGTGGAGAGCCGACTAGGCTTAAGCTAGTTAATGGAGTTTTGCAGAGCTCTTCTCCAGATGTTACCTTTGTAAGCACCGATATTTTAATCCATTTTGAATGGAATGTGACTAAAGAAAACCTTGGCAGTGACCATTTATTCATTAAATTCACTTTAAAATATAAGGATAATTTGAAACTAATTAGTCATCGTAATTTTAAGGCCGCTAATTGGCAAATTTATCGTGAGATAATAACAGAAAGATTTAGTGCTGATACAGCAATATATAGTGGTGAAAGTATACAAAGTCGTTATGATAAATTCATAGATGTAATTAACAAGGCTGCAGATAAATGTATTCCTATGACCAAAGTCCCTTTGTATGCAAGTCCATCTTTTACCCCAAAGCCTTATTGGAACCCGCTATTGTCGCATACTGTAGCAAAACGTCGATTGGCTTTAAAAAATTTTCGCCGTAATCCAACACCTAGCAACTTCGATAAACTAAAAGAACAAACAACAGAATCCCGTCGTGTTATACGCAGAGCCAAATTTAACAGCTGGACATCTTTTTGTAGTGATATTGATAAAACGACTAACGCTTCCGATATGTGGCGTAAAATGCGTTGGGTAAAAGGAATTCGCAGTAACTGTACACACCCCTCAAAAGATAGTTCACTTGAGTTATTACATTCACTAACACCTGACTTTGTAGAACAGTTACCACCTAAGTTCTATTCTAATAATAGTCGTCTAGAAGATGAGTTTTCGATAGTGGAATTAAATAACGCCCTAAAAAGAAAAGATACTGCTCCCGGAGAGGACTGTATTACATACTCCATGTTAGGTCAATTACCTTTAGTTGGCAAACTCTTCCTACTTAAAATTTACAATCTTGTTTTTGAATTGTCTGCTATACCAGAACAATGGAGACATATAGAAATTTTACCTATTCCTAAGTTAAATAACAGCAACGCTAGTGTACAAAAGTTACGACCAATATCGTTGATATCTTGCATATGTAAAGTATTTCATACAATGATAAATAAAAGGCTTGAATGGTATATAGAACATCATAAAATACTGTCCATGAACTCTACTGGTTTTAGGAGGGGACTATCATGTTTGGACTGTGTAGCTCGTTTAGTGACGGACATTCAGATAGGATTTTCAAAGAGTTTGCCCACCCTAACTTGTTTTGTAGATATTGAAAGTGCTTATAATAATGTATCCGTGTTTGAATTAGTACGTACGTTGGATAATTTAAATGTAGGTTCTAGATTGTGTAACTACATCTGGTCTTTTCTAAATAAGAGATACTTGAAGATAAAAAAAATTAATAGCTCCAATAAGCATGATAGATGGACAAATAAGGGATTGTGTCAAGGCGACCCAATGTCTCCACTTTTATTTAATATAATTACATCAAATTTATGTCAAAGTTTTGAAGAGGTTTCTGTGTTACAGTATGCGGATGATTTTGTTTTTTATACCCAGCACAAAAATATAAATAAATGTATCAGTAATATACAAAACTCGTTATCAATATTTAGCCAGCATATTAATAACATAGGGTTAGAAATTTCGGCTTCTAAAACTAAATCCTGTCTATTTAGTAGAGGTAGAAGAAATAATCAGATCCCACTTACAATTAGTAATGTTGAGTTGGAGCGGGTGGAAAATATCAGGTATCTGGGAATCTGGTTAGACAGATCCCTACTGTGGGCTAAGCATATTAACGCAGTTAAAGAGAGATGTCTGAATTTAGTGAACTTGCTTAAAATTTTGTCAGGCAAATCATGGGGCGTGCATCCCAAGCATGTAAGAAGACTGTACTTGTCATTAGTTCGTAGTAGAATAGATTTTGGTTCCTATTTGTACAGTAATGCAGCTAAATCCCACTTAGTAAAATTAGATAGAGTACAAAATATTGCACTGCGGGTTATTGGGGGGTATATTAGAACTACGCCAATACACGTTATGGAAGCTGAATTAGCTATTCCACCCCTACACTTAAGAAGAAAATATTTAGCTACAAAATATTGCTTAAAGGTTATCGGCACTACTAATCATACAGTAACTCAAGGAATTAAAATATTGGATCAGCAATGTGAAACTAGGTATTGGAATAACAAAATAAAACCTTTATTGGCATCAGCGTATAGCGACATTAAAATTGAGACAAAAATCAATACAAAAAAAAATGTGCTCATATATTCTTTTAACACGTGGATGTCTTATATTAACAAAGACGTTATAAGAATTGACATAGTAGACATGCCTCTGCAGAAAAAATATTATAACGACACAAGCATCCTTAAATTTAATATTTTAAATTACTTAAGCAGTGAGTATGAGGGATGGCACACTGTCTTTACGGATGGTTCGAAGTCAGAGCATGGTACTGGGGCAGCCTTTTATGACCCAAGATATAATATAAAAGAAAAATATAAGCTGTTGACTGGCAATAATAATAACCTGTCCATAATGTATGTGGAATTATTTGCAGTGTCAGAGGCCATCTCATATGCAGAGTCTAAGGGATTCAGAAAGACAGTGATATTAACTGACTGTAAAAGTGCTTTGCAGCATCTGGCTCGATGCGCCTCTGACGGCAGAGGTGCCTCGATAGCCTATGCTATTCTTAAAAAGGTTCAAAATTTAACAACTAGAGGTATAACTTTGAGACTGCAGTGGATTCCAGCTCACATTGGTATAAAAGGCAATGAAAATGTAGATAGGATGGCTAAAGAAGCTATATCAGATGGTATAGATACATTTGTTTTTTCGGAATTTAGTGATATCTTGTTAAAGTACAAACTATTGATATATAATAATTGGGAAAATGAATTCAAAAAAAATTCAATTAACAAAGGGATATGGTATAAAATTGTGCAGGATAAGCCTTTTAAACTGCCATGGTTTGCCCATGACGTATTGTGTAGAAAGTTGATTGTTATAGCTTGTAGATTGAGGTCTGGTCATATACCACTAAATTATTTTAAATTCTTAGTTAAGAAATCAGATTCACCAAATTGTTCATTGTGTAATGTTGTCGAAGATATTCATCACTTTCTAGTGGAATGCGTTCGGACCAACGATCTTAGAGTCTACCTAAGAGCAAAACTTAATATTAAGGTATATGATGTCGGAGTATTTTTGAGTATTTTATCTGCACCTATGTCAAACGCAGCTATTGTATTATATAAATTTATAGATAAGTTAAATAATTCAGATAATTAGTTCCATAAGGCATTTAAGGCATTTGTTTGTATTATGCATAAGGTGTTTATGGGACTGGCATAGTCAATTATGGCTCAAAGTCCCTCAAGTATAATTAAAGAATTAAAAAAAAAAAAAAAAAAAAAAAAATGTTTAATTTATCGACTGATATTATGGTTTGCGTCAATGTGTGAGTAAGAATGCTTTATTTACTAGAACGGAACTGTGTTGATAAAGCAAACTAGAAAATGATTATTTTTTTATTTTTCTTTTAATCAGCAACAAAATGGCCAGTGGTTCTAGTGATAGAAACAAAATAAAACATCTACCCTATTGAGTATTTTGTGTAGTCAAAATTACTTACCAATTTAAAAAGATACATTTTAATACCAGTCGAGGGTCGAGGGTCGTGAATTGGCAACAATACAGATTCACCTAAAGCTCATCCAATATAAAAACAACGGAGTACCTACTTGTTGTAGGAAGTCATTTCTTAAAATATTATAATATTCAAAGTAACTTAAGGATGTACTGAAAGGCTTCGTCGTATGTTGCCAGGGATTTTTAAAAAATGTTTATTTTTTCGTTTCTTTTAAATCAAACGATAATAAATGGTAACAAATTGAAAATCGATTCGAATGGAAAATGGTTGAACAAATGTGTTTTTAAGTGATATCTATATATATATTCATTTTGTAATTAGAAAAGGGGTTGGGCACATATATTTCTGCCTAAAGAAATGTTTATTATGGCTTCTAGAGCCCCATCGTTGTTGTTTTTTTTTTGATTAAAAGAAAATCAATATTTTCGTAATGAGGCGATACGTACCTATATACTTTTTTAACATTATAGTGTAAATTTTACTTGAATTAACAATTAATTAATAATAGTAACGGTGACATCAGTTTCAAATACCTAATATTCGAAAACTAAAAATAGAAAACTATGTCATAAACTTAGTAGTAACTATATTCTTACCATTATTTTGAGATGAATACCCACGACCTCGCTTACACATACATTGCCGTTAATACAAGTAATAAAATCTGTTAATATTTTGCAAAACATCAATGCATACACAAGGAAATAACCATTATAATGCAATAATGCATCGTAAACTAGATGCACACGTTTAAAACGACGCCATAAAATTCGCTTTATACTAACGCCATAATTTACTTCAGTTCTGACCAATACTTAGATCCGGTTTAGGAATTAATCATTCAGGTAAACATTTTTATCGTCCCGTAAACCCAACGTCGACCTTCGACCTATGATAGAACGGCAATCATAAACCCAATGTCTGGCTACATAGCCAAATGAATTCTAAATTGGGACACAACGGTTTGGCGACTATTACACTTTAATTTCAGTTGTTCAAATCTTGTCTCGGCGTAATAGCGCTGCACCGTCCCGCTCCCCCGAAACCCTTTCTAAAAGTACCCCTTTTCCATTCCTATTAATACAGCTGTGTTTATTCGAAGATTCAAAAATGGGGCTTATGGTGTCCGTTGTTCTCACGTACGCTGGCGTGCATGAGGCGGTTGAGTGCATGAAACATATACTTAGCGGCATCGTTCCCAATACGGAACCCAACTTTCAAGACCTCATCGAGTACTACACAACCCTGCTCAAAAAATCCCACAACGCAAACTCGTCAACGGCAGTAGACTGGATCAAGGAAAGCGGTCAAGGATACCTATTTTTGACCGAAGATAAAAATGGAAAACTAAAATCTGTCGCCGTCAACTATTACGGAAACCAAACCAACTCTACGGCGTTACTTTTCTCTACTAAAATCTCCAGTTTCGGCCAGGAGTCACTCGACGACAGTGAAGTTCAAACCAACGGTGACTACAGGAGCGAAAGGTACATACAGACGAAAACCATACTAACGAACACATCAGATTCGATCAAAGTCGGCCATGGATACCGATCATCGTCTCGTGAAAATATTTCAGATTTGAATACTTTAACTTCAAATTCTGTTGAGCCTGAAAACGACGGCGAGCAAAACGGGTCTACAGAGAAATTGAAATGGCATTACCGACCTATGAATTCACCCACAAACCAGCAAACACTGCCCCCCGAAATACAATTCCAATCATTCGATGACGATAAAAGAGGTGTTTACAGCGAAGACTTCCTCAGGTTAATATCCATTGATTACAGCACGTGCATCTTTCAATTGAATCATGCTTACAGTATGGTAGTGAAGTAGCTACATCCTATTGTCATCATATGTAAACATTGACATATGCACGCGTAGAAAGCTAAATCATGGACCCATCAACTCCATCTGTACAATATCAATTCATGTTATGAATTTGTTTAAGATCTCTTGATGGAATTAAGTTCCGACCGTTACAACGAAGCGACCCGAGTGGCAGGCGTCGAAGTTTCAAAAAGCGTCACTCCTCGTCGTCCAATTCTTCCAGAGAGTCGAGAGCGTCTCGCGAGGAGGAACTTAAGATGTTCACGTCACTCGAGGAAGCTGAGTTCGAGCGTATGAACAATAATGTAAAGGTCGAAGGATTTGGAAGCACTCCTAATCTATCAGCGCGTTCTTATTCCAGAAGTCGGTCGAGGGAAAACTCGAAGGAGGGTCGACGAGAACATTGGAGCGTGGAAGCGTCAGGTGACAGTACGGAATCCGCCGACGATTCTACGAAAAAGCAACTCCTGTCAGAAGTTCCGCAACTCGACTCCTTCGAAGAAGATACGAAAGAGGTAATTGAAGAGGAGGATGAAGTAGATTTCTGGGCTAACTCTGGGGATTAGCCTTCAGTGTACTGTAAGCTTATAAAAGCATGACTGAATTATTAAATTATTATGCCCCTGTTTGTGGTTTGTTTTCTTTGGAACCCCTTAGTAATAACAGGACTGTTATGACCTCCTATGTGACAGGAATCTGAGATAGGCGCTAATCTGTTTGGCTTAATGATAGAAACGAAGTAAAACATTTAAAATCTTAATTTTGATTGCCTAAATTTCTGTGAGACAATTAGAGGCTGGTTTTAATATTAGAATGAAAATTGGCTCGTTCTTATAATATACTCCGCTTTTGTTTTCATACTATATAGCCCCGAAGGTAAAGGATAGGCAGTGACGTATTAGACGACCACATTTTGCTACTATAATTTTATTCTTATAGTGAAAGATAGGATAGATAAGAAGGAAAACAACAGTTGGAAAGTTATATCACTTATACGAATGGATTTGGGAAAGTTAGAAATAGCTCGAATAGGCCAGGGTCGCTTATCTCGAATGCGGAAAATCTGAGAACATGAACTTTTAATAAAATACCAGTATTTAGTTTAAATTAATGCAGCAAATTACTATATTTTGCACTGAATCAACATAATAAAAATTGTACAAACTAGGGTCATAGAAAAACATTAAGACCCGAAAATTGTCGCCATTACGTTTAATAGGTTTTTAAGATAACAATATACTAGTTATTTTCTCATGTAAATGCTATTAACATACATTTATATCTAAGTGGGGCATTGATCCTAAATCTAAAACATTTGTTGAGGCTTAAACTAGCTTCTTGCACGGGTTTGAGTATTTCTTTCGATCAGACATTCCACTTTTAAATTGTTTTATAATCTTTTAAATATCTTTGAACTTTTCTCTTTGTTAAATGAAAATATGTAAGCAGTAAATATCATATCCTTTCTTCTTGTTATTTTTCATTATATTTACATACAAATACGTGTTCGATCTGTACGACCCACTGTAATAATTAAAACAGCACCCACGGATTATAATTGTCCTATTTTACTTCGCGAATGAGTTTAGAAACAGATAATTTATAAGTTTTTAACTTTAAATAAGAGCCGTATACGATTTTTATACTGTGGTTGTATTGTGTGTGTATAAAAGAACATCAGGTCTTGAAGCAAACAACAAGAGGAAGTGTCATACTCATGTTTCTCAGTTACGTGAGGATGCGCAGAACTCCGACACATGAACATTGATTCAATCACGATTGACCGTTTGTTTTATCTATGCAGTTTCAAACACCTTAAATTACTTCACTTTCAAGGATAATTCCTTTGTTAATATTCCCGTGACTTCATATTGTATTTATACGTATATCGTCGACTTCATTCCATTGCCAGAACTGTAAGATTTAATTGTATGTGCACACCTGAACTGATCACAATTTGTCCATGAACGTGACCTAAATAAAATTGTAAAACTTCGACAATTCATTCGACACGTGTTCATATTGGACATGAATAGGCGCAATTGTTTATTTTTAATTTCACGTGTCATTAGATTAATTCTTTAGTGACCAGATGTGACCAGCGGTACATCTGGTCCAGGATCGGCAGTAATGTTTAGCCACACTAATATCCACTTCAAGTTCCAATTTCAACATTTATTGTGTTACACATGACCTGGTTGTAATGGTAACAAACCTATAAATATTATAATATTCTCTGCCCATTATACAAATGATTAATTGTAAACCGTTAATCATAAAACTCGTACAATGGGCCAAAAATACATCGAACCTCGACCCAAATGTGTCTCATTAAATACGTTCTTAAAATTCACCCGCGACCTTTGCGTTAATGCCATCTAGTGATGATACCATAGATTATAATGACATAGTAATTTATTAGTATTTACTAACTTTTCATAGGTTTAAGAGTTAGAAAAAAATAATTTTTTAAATATATATTTAAATTTCGAAGTTCTAATTTGGCAATAAAAGTACGTCTGTAAAACATATTTACCGCTTTATCTATACGAACATTATCAAAGACCAAAATAAATCAAATGATTTGCATCACTACATAATTAAAGACTACATCTCTAATCTGACAAACAAGAAACATAATGAGCGCCAAATTGTAACAATCGAGCCATCATGGCGTCAAAGCAGCAATAGACGTTGGCGACCCTCCATTCAGCCTTATACCATAAAGTAAAAGTGTAGTGTATGATTATTCAAATGTTCATTCATTCATGTCCAAAGGCATAATTCTGTTCATTAAAACATGCTTATTATAGGCACGAATGCTTTTATTAATTTTATGTTAAGAATAAGGAGGCTGTACAATAATAAAATATGATGAGTACGCACAAATATTTTTTGATTGCTAGAAGTAAGACGTCGCTAGAACTTGAAAAGACTAATTTTCCCTTAAAACCTGTAAGGTAAATGATGGACATTGAGGATGATAGAAATATACTGGAGGTCCGTAATCGGGAACTATCAGATATCGACAACCGTAATGTCCATATTCGGTACCGGTACGATTGTTTTGCATTTTTAAGTAGATGACACTCACTATTTTGTGATTATAGTACTATAATCACAAAATAGTGTATTCTAGAAATAAACTCAATTCAAATGACAACATTTCCTATTAAAAACTAATAACCGGAACTATTGGATAATAATAATTTCATATCGATAACATCCCTGGGTTCTACTATCTAGTATTTAAAACTAAATAGATAACATCGATTGAATTAAATAATAATCCTGATATATTAAAACTTACAATGCACATAAATGACACAATACTTTCACTTCTAAACCAAAACAATGTCTATAATAATAATAGATGTTTTATGTTATTTATCAAGCTCGAAATCTAATACTTCCTTGAAATAATAGTCCTCGTATAAATTACACTACACTATATACTAGAAAAGTTTGCCGCTATTGCGGTCACATATATCCAATGTTCACACATCTAGGGACGCATGAACTTTGTCGTGCTACGTTTGCGTTGTAAAAAAGCATGCAGTGTTCTAAAATCAAAAACGTCTAGCAGGCAACACTACCGCGCGTACTCATTGGACAAATCAGCTAGCGCGGACCTTTCCCGGTTTTACTGTTACACACTTCCGACCCTTTTCATGAAATGACTCCCACAGGTTTCAGGAAAACGAAAGGGACACGTCAAAATGTTTTCCCTTTTTACCGCGTGTTTTTTTATTTTTAACCTGAATTTTTCATTTATTTTTAGTTTTGTATTGTCTTCGGCCACCAGATAGGTAGATACAGGTTAAGCTAATAATAACAGACACAACACGACTCCTTTGTCGTTGTCTTTTGTTTTTTTCCTGATTCTACTAATTTATGAGATTCTATTTTTGATGACGTTTTTGATGTTTTGACATCTGTCATTTTTTTCTAAATTTAAATACGATTTGATCTTGACAGTGTGTCATCGGTCAAACATCAAATAACTCCGTGTAGATTTATTTTGGTATTCCTTTAATTAATTTTAATTAACACTGCGATTTTCCGTGCATTAGTAAAACGACAACGATTATTTTTAAACAATGTATCCCTACTGAGTAGGCAGAAGATATTATTTAAAGTGGACCCTAATAATTCTATAGCTTTCCTTTGTACTCGACATAAACTATTTCGTCACTCTATTTAACATTAGAACAAATAACAGAACAGAGCCAAAAAAGCATTACGCCATTTCTCATCTCGGGTCGAGAAATATCTACATACCTAATATATCAAATCCAAATTACCTATCCTCTTTCTATTTTCTACTGGACTGAGTTACATTTGTGATTCTATTATTAGACGGTATGCGTTGCCAACCCAATACTCCAGTCGCATAGATTTTTAAATTTAATTCTGAGAATTTCAACCATGATAGATGCACTCTTGATCGGATTTAGTTGGTTTTGTGTTACTAGACAATAAAAATACAGTCGAATTGAGAACCTCCTTTTTTGTGTTTTTAAAGTCGGTTATATAACATTCGATTTCTAAAAGACTGATAAAAATACACTTCAACTAACTTAACAGCGGTGTCAATTTAGTTCGATATTCAAAAACGTTGATCAAAGAAACAGATATTAACAACACATTCGACTTTCGAATACCATTTGACATGGATCTTACTATCTATAAAGACACATGTACATATTATAAGGGCATATTCATGCCTTCAGCATTTTGTAACATTTGGATTTGGATTTGACAACATTTATGGATTTTTGCGTTGATCAGCTTTTAAGAAACCGCTAAATAGGGTAGGGTGATTTTGACTTCAAACGTACTACATATCCTTGCAAATATTATACATTATTAATAGAATAGACATAAATATAAAATAGTTGTTCTCTGAATAGTTTATCTTTTTAGGGTTCCTTGCCTCAAAAAAAACCACTTTGTTTTCCATCTGTCTGTCAAGACCTTAATCTCGGGAATGTTTGGAGGTATCGAGTTGAAATTAAAACCGTGAAAAAATCAAACTTTTAAGTTACCATAAAAAAAGATACGGCCGCTTATGTCCCAAAAAACGGATATTTCGGATAAAACGGACACTCTCAAGAGAATCAAAATGTAGGGTACTTCTCGTTGACCTAGAACTATAAAATTCGGTAAGTAACACCGGCTTATACTATAAGTAGAGGGTTTTTTTTAAACTATACATTTGTTAGTATAATAGTCTTTTTTCATAAAACTAATAGTCTTTTTTTAAAGTCCGTAATCAATTACCGAGGTACAATTTTACTCATAAAACAGTAATACTACTACAGGTTTTGGAAACAAAATTTCGGGAAAAGCTCGAAAAACACTGCGAGACTCAATTAGAACTATTTATAATATGTACCTACAAATTTGTACGCATTTGTCCGGGTTTTTTTGTGTTTTTTACTTTCACTCCTGATAAATATTGTTTTTCACAAATTCCTCACATGTTTGTGGTATCGTCATCAGAATATCGCAGTCCACTGCTCTACATAGGCCTCTCCCATAGCACGCCACTTAGATAGATTTT